ATTTTAATTTGCATTATTAAGTTAGTAGATTTGATGCAAAATTAAATACTATTAGTATCTACAAATATATATAAACTTCTAAAAACACTGCTGCAACATATATCTAAGATAGATCAAATGGATGTGAATTTAGACCTCACTAACCGAAATATGTCATCGATAATGAGTTAAGTGATTCAAGTTAAGTGTAACAATGTTGACATACGTAGGAATATTCAGGCCCTATTTAATGTCTAATATTAGGGAACGCTATCCTACAGTAAAAACTTCATTCTCCCTCAGTCTACTTAGTACCCATTAATGCTTTATTCCATAACACACAGTACTTAAAATTCACAAGCAACATTTTTTTTTCCCAAACTTCTAGCTTGATGATAAATTTAGGCAATACTCCCTCTCATTTTGATATAAATGGATAAGATGAGGGAAAAAAATCTATGGGAAATCATCAAAATAGGACTTCAAGATATCTCAATGTGTAAGAATAGTATAGAAACTATAAAAACAACAAATATTGCTCAGTCTTTATTTGAATACAGGGAATATAACATATTTCACAGTATCAAAGGAACTTGTGATTATTAGTATAGATACTGCTATGTATACTTTAGATTCATATTTATCTCTATTAACAACATTTAGTTAAAAACTGTAGTCAGTTATAATTGGATATAAAACTGCTTCTAAATAATTATGAAGTTCTAATATAGAATTTCAGACAAATATGAAAACTAAACCTTACTTTAATTGCTGACCTCTTAAAATTCCCTAGATGCTCTCAGCCAGACTGTAAAATAAGATCCAGATAAAGTGCAAAAAAAAAAAAAAATTTAAGAACCACACTTTGTTTTGATTACATGCTGTTGAGTATTATATGTTATGTGCAATTTTTAAAAAATGTAAGTGAAACATGAATTCATGAGTCAGGAATCCATTTTGAGAATAACATTTTGGCTTTCTAAAATTCATCAGGCTATTCAATAACATACCTTAGTATGTAACAGTATATAAAAGCTTTTAAAGAAAACATTCGTTAAATGTCAGCAAGAGTTGTGCTAAGAAGTAAGGATATAAGATGAACAAGACTCGCTATTACTCTTAAGTAGTTTATAATCCAGTAGAGAGGTAAATAAACAGATAAGATTTCAGTTCTGTCGGGTAAGTCCGGGATGGAGGTAAAAAATGCCATTGGCAGCACATCGTAGAGGCCCCTGACCCAGCGAGGCTGACAGCCTGGGGAATAAAGAGGCACTCCAGAGGAACGGTAACCCACACTGAGTCTTCCAGATTTACGAGGTACCTGGGTGGAGCAGAGACCCCTCTGGGAAGAGGCTACAGCGCTAGCAAAGACACAGAAACCTCAGAGAACCTGCAAGATTCCGGGAACCAAAAGAACCCGGAAAGAATACTGAAGAGACAGAGGTAAGCAATCCGTTGCTTCTGTGGGCTTCACTGCATGCTTGGGACTTTCTCCTGAGGGCAAGAAAAGGCCTGCGAAAGATATTAAGTATAACAGCAACATGATCAGGTATGTATTTCAGAAAGACCACTCTAGAAGCAACTTAAAGTAGAAAAAGACAGTCAAGAGAGAAAATAGAGATCCAAAATAAGAGCTGGAGCAGAGAGAACAGCTTTGAGAGATAGTAAAAATTAAGAGGAGATAGGAGTTTGAACTGGGGATGAAGCAGAGAAGGATGAGTTCCTGCTTTCTGCCTCAATCCACTCTGCAGCTGAGGATGTCATCCTCAGAGGAGAGGAGAAGAACTGAAACAGAAGAGAAAGTGAGAAAAACTGGGAGAGGAGAGCTTGAGAGTTCAGTTGTCATATGCTGAGTTTGTAAACCTATGCACCTCCAGGCAGGGCTATCTGCCAGAAGGTAACTGGATATGCAAGAATGAATGCATACTCTTTAAAGACCATCTGAATATGTCAGGTAATTGTAATAACAGCTAACATTTACCAAGTTTCTACTCTAAGCGGGGCATACGCCAAATCTTTCATATAACTTCTTTTTATTATCCTCCCCACGCTACACATGAAGAAGAGTTTAAGTAATTTCCTAATGGTTACAAAGTATTTAAGTGTCAGGGATTTCTGATTTCAAGTCCTTACTCACTATACTATGCTGTATCATGCAAAATCCATCACAGGTTTTAGGACCAGATAGACGTGGGTTCAGTTCTAATCACTGCTACTTAACAGCCAAGTGACCTTGACAGTCTCCAAGCCATAGCTTCCCCACCTGTATAATGTATAATGTATAATGGTGACCATAACAATTACATCGCAAGATGTTAAGGATTGGAGAGAAAATATGTAAAATGCTAGATTCAGTCTATATGTGCAATAACTGGTACACACTGTTATGTCTATGCCTAGAGAAAGAATTCCTCTATGATCTGAGAAAATTTCCTTTCATCTTATTATGAACTTTCTTTTAATTCTACTCTATTTTTTCTATATCTTAATAAAGGCTAAGTATCATTTTTCAAAATATTTGAAACACACTCTATAAAATTTAATGTCATTTAAAGATTTCACTCAAATAGAAATCATTTCAATGGAAAGGGGTTGATTCAATTTTTTTGACATTTCTTATAGTGATGACTGTCAAAATAAGAAAACCCCAAAGCCATAAGTCATGTCGATGTTCTGGAAAGAGCTTTGGACTTGGAGTCAGAAGACCTGTGTGAAGTCCCAACTCTGCCATTTACTAGCCATGGCATCATGGGCAAGTCATTAACAGTCCCAAGGGTCCCTCAGTACATGTACAAGATGCACAGATTGGCCTATATGTTCTTCTAAGTCTAAGGATGCTGAAGGAGAAAGGCTTTATGATCTTTATAAAACCAAAGCCCTTAAGTCATTAACACTTGACACAAACTTCAAGCTTCCTGTGTTTTAAATCAAAAGTGCCCACTCTTTGATGGCCTATCAAACCACACTACAAATCAGGAGCTCCCAATCTGACTCTGACCAGATTATAACCCTCAGCTGGAGAGTTCAATGTGAGGTGCTGGGGGGGGAGTGGGGGGGGAGTGGAGAGCACTCTCCTTTTCTCAAAATCTCCCCCATTCTCACCAAAAGTTCAGTAGCTGAGTTTGAGCTGAGAAGCCAGAAGGTGACACTAGATTTCTGGTTTTCAAATCTGGATGCACATTAGCAACACCAGGAACTTAAAAAAAAAATTTGTTTTTAAATGTTGAGCTCCACAACCCTAAAATGACATTGGAGGAAACTATGTATGATTTACAAATGCTCCGTTTCACTTTGTAAAAGGTCATATGAAGCATCTTGTATAATAACCTCACTCTAATGTTAAACATAAGAACATATTCTCTTTAACCTCCACTACACTGAAAACAAATATTCTTGAGGATACACACATAACTAGATCAACCACTCCAGTCTGCAGGGACTGCACCTGCATTATCTCTGAAAGTTCCATGTCCTGAGCAACCCCGGGGTCTCTGGAAAACAGGGGCATTTGGTCAATATCTCTCTTTCTCTCTCTCTCTCTCACACACATACACACACTCAGGCACACATGCACACATGCACACATAGGCACACACGCACACAAACATTTAAGTAACCCTCAGTGTGTCAGAACAAAGTATAGATCAACAGTGGCTCTCTCATGAAGCAGCACCACTAAAATGACATTATTCACTCAGGTACATATATGGTCTCACTTACAGACCTCTGATGCTGCTGGGATCCATAAACATGCAAGAGCATGGGTGACATCATCATGCTATCATCCATTTTGTTAGAGTCCACACTACGATAACCAGCATTTAAAAGAGTAACTCCTTGGAAGCCCCTGCCTCCTAACTGCTATTTGTCTAGTCAGGAAATTTTTGAAGAATAACATCTCTACCATTTGACAGACTTTTTAAAATACTTTCATGGTTTTGTATTTTTTGTTACATTTTTCTATAATGATGCCATGGAAAATTAAATAATTTTACTTTATTTAAGATAATATACAATGAAATTAGACAATGGTTGTGTCTGTTTGGAAATTAAAGACTTGGTTATCCTCTTTTCTTTTAAATGAAATATTTTTTAAAAAAATTAACTTGCAATGGCATGTATTCACCAGAACATATACTCCTCTGTATTTCAAAACCAAGCTCGTCACGGAAGTATTTTCTAGAACGACATTATTATACACAAATGCACTCTCTTGTGTTGCCTCATAGGAACATTAGATCCTAAGATCAAGTCATGATCATACAAGCTACTAAAGAATAGCATCGATCTGCATAACATACCCTTGGTAGGTTCCCATGTCTCCTTCCTTGTGACATCGCTGGTTGTCTATGAGAGGAAGAGCTTGGGCCGTGGTTGGCTGTAGTGTGCGAGTGTGAGGGAAGACCTCGTACTGACCTCAGTTCCACCCACTAAAGCATTAGTGCCATGGAGACACTACTAGTGAGTTAGGAGCAAAGGCCCTGGAAACCCTTTCCCTTTGAGAAAAGCAGAATCTTAGAGTGACTGCCACCAATCTTGTGCGTTCTTCACTCTGCAGAGAACTAGCAAAATGAGGAAGCCCGTGAAAGCACAGGAGGACTGTGGCTGCCATCCCTAAAGTGAATAAGAGTCATGCTGGTAACACACCTTCTCCTGTTCTGCTTCTGACATTCAATACTACATGCACTATCTAAGGACCCTGGGAATAAAACCAAATAAAGAGGGTGTGCAAAATTGTTTAGACCGTCGAAAACACTTGAAATGATTTAAATGCCCTAGTCTTTCTACCACTGGCTTTCCAAGCAGACAATCAAGGGAGACCTCAAAATGTGACATCATTAAGCAGGAATGTCATACATTTCCAAAGGTCTGTTTTATGGCCTTAGAAGAGAATTCAAAACTCAACTAAAATATATATTTTTAACAAACTCTTGATTTTTATGATATATTCCTTTTAGTATGATTTTGAGTGGTTTTGCCACAACTTTTTTTCAGCAAACTTGAGACTGAATAAGACTTACTGATTGCTCATTTAAGTCCTGGGAGTCTTCCATGTGGTTTTCTCACTTCTCCAGCCACCTCCAAACAGAAGCAACTTCCTTCAATTAAAAGTGGACAATCTAAAACAAAAAGATGGAAACAAAGAGGAAAAATGAAAAAGTTATTTTTTTTATTTATTTGCAAATTACCAAAGCACAATATGATTTATGTGATAGTGGATAATCCATGAGAGCATTATTTTCAAAGAACAAAACTTATTAATGTTATCTCCATATCTTATAGACCTAATGATCTTGAAAATCACATCATGGTAAAATTGGAATATGTGAACAGCTACTCAGGAATACCATAAACAAAAACATCTGAGGACAATTTTGGAGACACGGTCTATAATAAACACTTAGTATACTATTTTGCTGAAAGAGATCTGTCATTAAGCAATGACAGATTAAAAATTAAGAGTCTGTATTAATTGATCACTTTCTGAAGCACATGAATTGAGAAAATACAGTGTGTACCTTAATATGACAGCTTGCTATAAGGGACAATTTGCCTGAATTACCAGATGACCATTATTCAGTTTTAAAGAATAGAAGGTCATAAAATACATGGTCAATTTTAATTAGCAATAATCACGCCTCAGATAAACCTCATTGGCTACGATACAGCCATGGTCAATTTTAAATAGAGAATAAAAATAACACTATTACAATAAAAAAGGTATTACAAACATATATGGGAAGGACAATTCATTAATAAACCATAGTGAGACAATCAGTTAATTATTCAAAAAAAGTTCATCTTTACTCCATACCATATATTTAAAACCTTCCAGGCAAACTGAAGTATAAAAAAGCTCCAAGAAAAATAGGCATAATTTCTTTTAATTCCCAGATGGAGAAAGATTTTGTAACAGAAACAATGGAATACAAAACAAAAAAGCCAAATAACCTCCTGAATCCCCTCACACCTACAACAACAACAACAAAAATGATAAAAATTAAAAGATATGTGAAAATATAAAAAGAAATATCTGCACAAATATCAAACACAATAGGCTAATGTCGTTAAGATATAAAGAGTTCTTACAATGCAAACAAAAATGCACACACACCTCTACAGAAAAATGGTCCATCACCACAAAATAATGCTCAAACTCATTAATAAATAAAATGCAATTTAAAATAGCAATGATGCATTTGTAGCCCTTCAAATCCTCATTTTAAAAATAAAAAGGAGTTTAAAAAAAGATTTCTCACTGGCATAAATTAGATATAAAGTGCTAAACCCAAGGAATATTTAGTGCCATCGAAATTCTCTGAAGATATAATTTAAGTGAAAGATAAGTATTCCAGTAAGTGTTCTGCAGAAACATTTTCCCCAGTTTATTGAAATTCAGCATAAGCAGGTGTTTTGCTCCATTTTATAAACATCCATTCATACATTCCCTAATACAACCAGGCAGCTGTGGCTTTCTTTTCTTTTCCACATTGCAATATTTTCTACAACAAACCTATTACTTTCCTTATGAGAATACATATTAAAAATTACAAAGGAAATTTAAAATATAGCTTATAAATTGTTTTATTCATATAAGACCCAGAGATACAGATTAAAGATTTTTTCTTCAATCTTAAGAGTTAAAAGTCATAAAATAGGAATGTAACTTGTATGTAGGTAATGTGACAGTCTCCGCAAGACACGGATGAAGTATACTCCAAACCCAGGGAAGTGTCCCTTTAAAGAACGACACAATTTTACAGCATATATGACATGAAGGAGGAAGGGCAAGTATGAAGCACACTGAAAGTTGGGGCAGCATGTATTTGGATTCAGAAAGATAAGCAGGCAGGGAGTTCAAGATGTACAGATGTGATTTTTTGTGTGTTGGCGGTGGGCGTGGAAAATGGTGACTGGAAAACCTGGGCTTTCTCCCTCTTTTTCTCCCTCTCCCCTTCTCCTTAAGGACTGGTTCACTGCCTCTAATCTGGGTCATTCATCTTCATTCTTACTGATCTCTTGCTTGCTCCTCCTATCCTTGAAGACCTCCATCCCAACCCTCAGCCCTGTGTACTGCTCCCTCCCCTCGTGACCGTAGATACATCATTCCAACTCTGCTTCCATACTCAACAGTATTCTCCCCGCCCATCTCTTGACCTGGACTTGTGTGTGTGTGTGTGTGCCTCTGTGTCCAAATTTTCCTATTCCCAAAAGTACACCAGTCACTGGATTAGAACCTACCCTAATCCAGTAAAACCTCATCTTAACTTGATTCCTTCTGCAAAGACCTTCCATGTAAGGTCACATCCACAGGTAATGGGGTTAGAATTTGAACATATCTTTTAGGGGATCCAATTCAACCCACAACATACATATGGTTACCACACGAAAATGATTTTTAAGATGTCATCAAGGTTTAAATGTATTATTTCCAGAAAGGATACCTAGCAATTAAAATAAGGATATGGATCATTAGGAAAGAAGCAATCATTTTCTAGAAGGAGCACCATCTCAGGACAAAGTAATAACTCAAGTGAAATTAAAAATTAAGACTTCAGAAAAGATGTTGGAACAGAAGAGAATTAAGCAAAAACCAGCCTTTTTTTTTTTGTTAACCGCCCATTGAGAATCTATTTAAGGTTCCAGTTGGGGAGCTATTTGCATTAATGTTCCATGTTACAACATAATACTTTGCTTTATGTTTCCTTAAAATTGAGATTGTTACTTAGTTTAACTTCTTTATGGTAACATGAATTTCTTTTTTTGCCAAACACGCTAAGGTACTAAAACATTATGAGCCCAGTGATTTTATATTATTGAAGCAAGTAAAACTACCTAGGCTAATTGCAGACACAGTATTATTTTACATCATAATTTAGCAGTGGTTGTTATGCTAAATCTTTTAACATTTCATTTTCACAAATATATGAGAAAAAGGAACACTCTTCAAATCAAGTAAGAGAAGTATTACTTCACAATAAAGATATAAAATTAAAGAATAAATATAACCTCTTGCTGTTTTATGAGGCAATAATCTAGTTTCCAGCTCTCTTTCAAGGCCATTCCCCCAGAAAAGGTGAATTTAAAAAGGAATAATAGCAACCTCACTCATTCCATGTTAGATTTTTTTTCTCCTGCAGTCAGGTTCTCAATACATAGTAAATGAATGATATCCTTTTCTTCAACTTTGCTTTAGAAAAAGTGAGCTATCAACTCTTGTGTCTTAGAAAATTAGAATTTAAAAGAACCAACAATCCTTCTAGTTTAAATATATAAAGAGATTCTGATACAAAGTTACAAAACAATTCTCAGAAATGGAACATGGTACTGAGGCCTGGTCCAGGCGGTGGAGACAGCAAAGAGAAAAAGATGCTGAGAGATGTTTGAGAAATTTGTAGAGTCTGCGTGATGCAGCCCTCAGCCTCTGGACTGATCTTTCTAATCAAACCTTCAGTGAAAACGAGATTGTCCAAGCAGGCTTCGCTCTGGCTGAACAAACATGAACGTGGAGGGGGGCAGCTCTCCGTGCCAGGGCTGGCACGGGACAGGGACAGAAGCTGCACATGGGAATACTACACCTCTGGATGATGCACACCCATGGCACAGCCTTCTACCAGCCATTAAAGCCAGGCACCTGGGCTTTGTCACTGACTCCTTGCCCAATTCCGGAAGCTACCAAGTGCTATCAGTACGTCATAGTGCTCATTCAAATCTCTCCATGCTTCTCTCCTCACTGCTGCGATGGTAGTTCAAGCCATCAGGGGCCCTCGCCCAGACGGGGAGCAAGAGCTTCGTGAGGGGCGCCTTTCCTCCAGAGCAGCTCCCTGGACTTGAATTTTCACAGAGCAGCCAGAGTGATACTTTTAAGTAGAGATCTAGCTGGATTCTCTTAAAGCAAATCAGAGCTTTACCCCACCTTTAGGATGAGCCAGAAATTCTTTAGGCTGCCCTGGAAGCTGGGGCAGTGCCTAGCGGAATCCCCGGAAGGATAACCACAAGTCCACCGCCTTTGCTCCCTGAGGCCATGGCCTGTCCCCAGTGGGAGTTCTGAGGGAGAGCTCCACCTTCCTTCTCCCCCTGGCTGTGTTCCACTGTGCTCACCATCCCCTCATCCTATCACCCCCCAACACACTCACCACAGTGCCCTGCAGCCAAGGTTGGGACTGCAGCAGAGCTTCCTGGGAGGATGTGTGCACAGTCCAGGCTCTGCCACAGTACAAAGGAAGAAGGAGTGGGGAAAAGACTACAACCCCCACCCACGTGACAAATGCCTACTGTATCCTGAGGGAAAGGTGGAAGACGACCTGTCCAAACTGGTCCCAGTCCCTGTGCAGACCCCGAGATGTGGAGGGCGGCACACGGATAGTCCTGTCCATAACCACCATCAAGGCCCCCTTTAAACTTAGGTGGGGGCTTTGAAGAATCTATGCACATGTGCAGAACTTCCTGGGCCAGGGGATGGTGTCCTTCCATTACATTCTATCATTCAGAACAGCTAATCTGTTGTTTGATTTTCAGATTTTCAAAGGGCAGGTACATTTTTGGAGACATATTATGGACAAAATGACACTTTGCCAACATGGGGCTATGTTATAAATATACTGATCCATATCCAGCATTCGGCTCCTAACCTGTTAGATTGCACAGTTCTTCCCCAGTTACACCAAACTTCTTCTATCTAATGATGCATCACAATCCCTTCCTATTGCTTAGGATGGGTCTGTGGGAAGGTATCAGGCTAGTCCTCTTTCAGTGGCAAAATCTCTGGGATATAAAACTTGGGCATGCTTGGGGTGCCTGGGTGGCTCAGTTGGTTAAGCCTCTGACTCTTGGTTTCGGTTCCTGTCATGATCTCGGGGTCGTGGAATCGAGCCCTCCGTGCTCAGTGTAGAGTCTGCTTGAGACTGTCCCTTGACCTCTCCCTCTGTCCCTCCACCTTCTTTTGCGCTAAATAAATAAATAAATAAATAAATAAATAAATAAATAATAAAATCTTTAAAAAAAAAAATCTTGAGCTCTCTTTACAGACATGTGGACAAACCTGGGTCTGCTAGGGAGAGACAGAAGAGAGGTGACCCAGAAACAGTCGCAAAAGAGAGGATGGCAAGAAAGTG